CTCTAAACTTATTATACGGATGCCAATTTAGTCTTAAATCTTTTCAATTTGGCCAATTTAATCCTAAACTATTTAACTATTTGCCAATATAGTCATTCCGGCCAAAATTGGCCAAAAATAGCATTTTTATAAAATTTTCTTTTTAAAAGAAGAAGAAAAGAAGAAAAATGGAAAAAGAAAAAAGAAAAAGTTTGCACAAATTGTTCATGTCAGTGTCGGCCGCACTACGTGGGACAGCCGACGTCTACGTTAATAATTTCTAGCCAAAATTTGCTGGAAGGATTATATTGATAATTTGTCAAATGGTTTAGGACTGAACGAATTTAAAGTTTAGGACTAAATTTACTGCCGAAATTCCTTGCATGATGATTTGCGTGTGTTTTCTATAATGGGCTGCGCCCAAAAACAAAAACTGATCAAATGAAAATAATTAAGTTTTTTTTTTGGGCCAGAAAACCAATAACTTATATTTGTGCAATTTCAGAACAAAGGAGTTCTCATAGGGCCGGGGGAGGGTGGTAGATCTAGCATCGTGGGCAAGCTATTAGCTCTTTGGGCTTTGACCACCCGATCCACAACTCTATTGGGCTCTCTGTTAATATGGGCCAGGGCCCAGTTTAAGATGACGAAAAGCCTGAAGAAGAGATTGGGCTTCGGTGATAACCGCAGGAATCTCCCAAGTGATCTTATGCTGAGTTCAAGAGGCAGCGACAGATCAGTTCTTGATTGTGAGAGGGCTAATTCCAAAAGAAAAAAAGCACCAACTTTACCTTGAGCGATAATTATGCCCCGGACTTTTTTTTTGTCTCAATAAAAAGCATAAAATTTTACTCGAGTCCCAAATTTGGCCCCCTGTGATGTGAAATTTTCAAATTGTTCGGGGTAGATTTGAGATTTAAGTGAAAGTTGGTCTTTTTTGTTTTGGAATTGGGCTGATTTTCTGAAGCTGGATTGCGTTCACAAATTTCTTCTTTATGATTGAAAGTGCTGCTTTTCTGACCAAAAAAAAAGAAAGAAAAAAATTTGTGCAATTTATGCTGAAATCTTCTGCAGTATAAGAAATTAGATTTCAGAATTCTCATTTAGACTAAAACAAAGCCATCGAAAACAACACAAAAAAGAATTGTGTACCACATGAAACTTTGTCCCACAATCAATCATCACATTACCATCATGACCAGAAGAGCTAATCCAGCTTCTGCAAACTCAATGAGCATCCATGTCCCCAACATACTAGGAATCTTAATTCATGGCCGAGCAACCTCAAGTCCAACTGAGCTTGGCGGCATGATGCCTCAAACTAGGAGCCAAAAACCGAGCAAATGCGCGACTTGCGATCCCTCCAGCAGCTGAGGGTACTCTTGGCTGCTTCTACTTCACGCGCTCTGATGTCAAAGAGCTACAGGGGCTCGAAATTCAGCAAGCATTCGGATTCACTTTTGAATAACAACATTTTCTCCTTTTCTCACTCTCGTGATTCATGAGCAAAATTGCAACTTGAAGCCACACTACATCAGAATTCAGATGTTGACAGGGAAGCCCCATTCCTACTCTTCGTCACCAATTCGACCAGAAGGTGGTGCGTATATCGCCCGTGAAGAAAGGCTACCACAGAGGAAAGTTCATTGCAACGTCTGCTTTCTATTTTTGCATTTCCTTAAACTTCCATAGCTTGTAAATAAACGAGGACTGCTTGGGGCATAACCAACACCCCTTGATCAATCTGCTGCTGATAAAATCATCTGAGATAGTGCGATTGATAGATTAATCACTCAGATCCTAAGTGTGCCGCTAAATGCAATACGCGTAACCGAGCAGAGAGTAGATCAGTCCTAGAAAGCAGATGCACCAGCATATGGCTGCCTGCTATTCCAAAACATCAAAGCACAGAGAAAGGGCCAAACCTGAAGATAACAAAATCATCTGTGCAGGTTCTTTTCCTAGCTAATAAGTCAACACACTAGTAGTGACCAGTCAACGAATCCCCTCGAACTCATCTTCTCACACTATCAACTGGATATTATCAATGTGCAATGTCTCTACAAAGAGGCGATGAAAATTGAGTCTTTCAAATTAGAAACAAATATACAATTCAAGAAAATAGACAGAAAAAAGGAGAATTAAATGCGTGGAATTCTCTTCGTCATCGCACCGACATTCGTCGACAAAATTTTCTTGAATCGAATGATCTTCGCATTTGCAAAGCGAAAAATGGAAATTAAAAAAGAATGGAAAAATCAATCAGATTGAGAGCCCATTGGCCCAAAACCAAATTGTGCAAGCCTGGGCCACGACGATCCAAGATCAACACCAATCTTGCCCAAGTCAAATTCAATCCTTTGATATTAAACCTCACAATATCCTTCTAGACAGAGAATTATACTCCCAAAGAATCCGACTTTGGACTTGCAAAACTTCAACTCTCAAACCACGACACTGTCCAACGAGAGAAACTTTTCGATGTACGATGTCTGAGTTGTTCTACAAGAGCGTTGGTGGCATCTCTCATCCACAGTTTTGCCGCTTTGCTAAAGAAAATGACTGGAAGAATGATAACATAAATGCGATATTAGAAGGTTCGAGCCAAATTCGTTTCCCGTTGTGGCACATGACCGAGTCAATGACGGGAGGAACTTCGCAAGGGGTGAGGAGGATGATCGGAGTTGCAATTTGGAGCATATACAATCGGATCTTGACCATCGACCTTCAATGAGCAAAGCCTTAAAAAATGCTTGAAGGGACATAATGATGAGCTACAAATCTCTTCGAAACTGCTTATCTATCCCCCACATTGGCAGTTAACAATCTCGGAATGGAAATAGAAACAAAAATTGATTTTTTTCTTCTCTAATGCATACGAAATGTCGGCGTCTAATATAATTGTCCGAGGAGGACTTTTATCTATACTGATCCGATTATACGCAAGTGGTCGGAGGATAGGACATCCTTGAAGCGTGAGACGAAAGTTTTCAAGGAAAAAGGAGTTGTTGGGTAAAAATCTTAAGAGCAAATAATGGAAAACAAAATTGTTTGATAATATGCCTCAAAACTAACTATTGGATATGGCTATTAGTTTGGTAGTTGGTCGAGTGGTTTATAATTTGATTTGCGAGACGAAAGTTGTAGGTTCGATTTCTCTCGTCGGCCTCTGGAAACCTAGGTTAGATTGTGATGGAGGTTAGATTGTGATGGATGTGTCTCGGCTTAGTTGCATCGTCGATCTTGAGCTCCCCATTGGCACTCGACAGGCCCATCAGTTGGTGCGCTTATTGACACCTTAACTTGAACATTCTGACCAAGGGTGAGGTAGATCCCAACTCTGTCCAAACTCTTTTTGTATTTTTGAAAAACCTATTGGGTGTTATTAGTTCAGTTTCACGCATAGGAGTTTCAATATTAATAGATAGGTTATAGTCACAATAGATACTAACTTTCACAAATTATGATTAAGATGCTAATGGGTTTTCGCTTTATGAGTTATCTTTGCATTCATAAAAGATTTCTTGGCTGCTAGTTCTTCCTGCAGAGTAGATACTGTCACTCAGATTGAATCATGTAATCTTATTTTGACGTTAAGACTTAAATTACATAGCCCGTTAGTTTTCAAGTTATTGCATGATTAATGGCTAGCAAGGTCGGCGATGCAGCAGTGGCAGCATGGCTAGGTGCGACGGATGCGCGGCTGGTGCTGGTGGTTTGCCTATGATCGTGATTCGTGCGGTGAAGAAAGAAGATGTTGAAGAGAAGTAAAAAACGAAGAAGAAAATAAGAAGACAGTGTATCAGAAGGAAGCGATGGGGAGAGAGGGAGAGAGATGGATTTGTTTGTTGGATGCGATGTGGACCCAACAATCAAGTGGAGAGAGTGGAAGAAACGCGGAGATAAGAGGACAAAGAGAGATCACATGTGAATTAAGATCTTTTGAATTTTCAATATTCTCGACTTCATGCGTTTACTACGTTGACTGACTTGGGCTTTTCTACGGTACAAGGCGACTCCAAAGTCTCCAATCGAAGAAGGATCATCCAGTCACTTTTCAATCTTCTTGTATAGTGCCTCTCCTCCACACACACCAACCAAAACTTATGAATTTTTTTTCCCTTTTTTATTTTATGCTTTTTCATTGTGACGATCTGGCCATATTGGCAAGGTCGTGCCTTGCCCAGCCACTGGCAAACGATCCCCATTGCAGAAAAGTAACCCAAATACCAAAACAACGAGTTAAATGCGAAAAGGGCAAACTTTGAGTCCGCTTGCACTTGCTGCGAATTGATGCAAAACACTAGAGCAGCCCCTCTCTTGGGCACAACTTCGATTCGATGAGTGACGACCCTCTTGCCGTGAAGATTACTCCTTGACCACGAAATCAACGACGATCTGAGCACTGGCTGCTTCGATTTGAATGAAGAAGAACTCAGTCTCAGTTGGAATCTCACGAATCTCTCGTCCTTGCCCATGGCCAATGAGGCTCGACCCTCGCCAAATCCAGTGTAGAGGCCGACCTTGCTGGACATAATGAAAACACAGAAAAAAAGAGAAAAAAATTCATAAAATCTTTAAAAATTATAAAAATTGTCCACATTAGCGCTGGCGGCGCCTCGTAGGATGGCTAGTGTTCACGTTAGCGATTTTCGGCCAAAATTGACCGGATGGACTTTAGCAAATTGTCAAAAGGTTTAGAATTAAATTGGCCAAAAAAATTTTGTCAAAAAAAATTGATCAAATTGAAAATTTTATGAGTGAATTGGTATAATTGTAATAAGTTTATGATTTTTTTGATAATTTAAAAAAAAACGAAAAAGTAAAAAAAAGAAGAAAATGGTGTATCAGGAAGTGATGGGGAGAGTGCGAGACAGATGGGATTTGGTTGTCGATGCGATGCGGGACCCAACAATCAAGTGGAGAGAGGGGAAGAAACATGGCGATAAGAGGACAAAGAGAGATCATATGTGAATTAAGATCTTTTGAATTTCCAATGGGTGTAAATGTCATATATCCGCTGTAGTCTCTTTTCAATCTTTTTATATGGCGCCTCTCCTCCACACACACACCCCAAGCAATTCTTTACCAATTTCTCTTTGCCCAAAGACAAACAGAAACATGATTACTGCTCTCAGCTCCACGAATATCTGTCAAGTGTTGCTGCTCGTTCTTGTTCTATTCCAAGCGACGACTAGCAATGCTGGATCAAGTAATCCGCGATGTGTTGCTTCATCCTGTGGCGATATTGGCAATATAAGTCATCCGTTTCGACTGAAGAGTGATCTAAAGGAATGCGGTGACCCAAAGAGCGAGCTGATTTGTGAAGATAATCGCACTGTTCTATATTTTCATGGTGGCCGATTCTTTGTGCGATCTATCGATTATTCCGCCCAACAATTCAAATTGGTCGATGACGGGCTGCAAAAGGATAACTGCTCATCTCTACCCCATCACTCTGAGGTGCTGTATAACTTCAGGTACGACGTGGTTGGTAGCAGTACATCAGTCATTGTAAACTGCTCAAAGTCGGTTAGTTCTCCATTTTACATCTCTACCAATTCATGCGTTGATGGGTCCTATTCTTCCAACACATCATCATCTTGGAATTTGTATGCTTTGCTCAATCCAGAAGCGTCAGATGTTCGGAATTTTTGCACCATTAGCAGGTGGACGTGGGTATCACCTAATTTTGGCCCTTTTGAGACGATTAATATTAGTTCCTACAACTACGAGCTAATCCATAACATCATGGCCGATGGATTTACTCTCTACTTTGGTGGATTTACTCCCTACTTTGGTTCTACTTCATCGAAGGGAACTTTCTTTTGCTATTTTGATATCTATAGCATCTGGACAGGTCAGGCTTCTTGCGAATTCCAGGGCTACCGCTTCGGTAAGCTTCGGTTGGCAATCAAATTTTACGACAATTTTGCATGATTCTGAACATTCTTTTGCTTGCTACCTTCTCTTCAAAACTGGAAAATGAAAGATATATTTAAAATCCAAGAAAATTATGACAAAATTTACGTGTTAGTATATGGCAACATTTGTGTATTTGAAAGGTTTCGAGAGCTTTGCATTACATATTAAAATCAAATTGTTGGAGTTGCAAGATGGGCAAAAAAAAAAAAGTGACAGTAGAAGTCATCCTAAACAGACCCATTTGCACATATAAATGTGCCTAGATTACAATTCCTTTCCACATAAAAGCTAGAACTCCCTATGCGAAAAAAATGGTTTATTGTGCTAGCAGCCACATGACTAGTTTTTTTTTTTCTGTTGGCGTAGAGTTCAAATTATCTTATTTTCCTAATTAGTTCCTTAATTAGTCACTTATCTAATAATTTGAAGGACACTCGTTAGCAAATTCCTTAAAAAGTTGTATTCATATATCAATAAGAGGAAACAAATTATTGATTAAAATAGGAAATCGCTATTTCTCTATATTCATTGACCGCTAACAAAGCAAATGGAGTTACTTGTATCATCTATCATCTATGTGAGACGAAGAAGCGTATTATTTCCATTGATTTGCAGATGCACGCATCCCACTTTCTCATTTTCTTTTGCATAAAATTGAACTTATACAAAGAAGTTTGCTACTACTCTGTGTCCTCGAGAGTTTTGTTTTCCAAACTTCTTTTTCTTCAAGTCCTTATCACGTCATTCCATTCCTTCCACAGGTGTCAGGGATTTTGCAAATTATATATCCAGGAATGTTACGTCTCTACTAGGTAAGCCGAAATGATTTGTTTTCACAAAAATTAAAGAAAATATATTCTAACCTATCAAAATTCCCTCAGTGTATTTCTGTGCAGCGAAATTCGCAATCGGGATGCCATTTGTTGTGGTATTTCTAATCTACAACTACAGAAGAAGGCACTTAGCAATGGACAAGAACATTGAAGAATTTTTACAAGCTCAAAACAATTTCTTACCCATAAGGTACTCTTACTCGAATATTAAGAAGATCACCAGGAATTTCAAGCACAAACTAGGTGAAGGGGGGTATGGTTCTGTGTACAAAGGAACGCTCAGAAGCGGCAATGAAGTGGCCGTCAAGATTTTGAAGCAGTCCAAGGCCCATGGCCAAGATTTTATCAGTGAAGTGGCTACTATTGGAAGAATTCACCATGTTAATGTAGTGCAACTCGTTGGTTTTTGCTTTGAAGGCTCGAAACAAGCTCTCGTGTATGATCTCATGTCAAATGGATCTTTGGATAAGCACATTTTCACTGATGAAGATGATAAGTTTCTGGATTACAAAAAAATATATGAGATCGCTCTTGGGGTGGCGAGGGGGATTGAATACTTACATCGTGGGTGTGACATGCAAATACTACACTTTGATATCAAGCCTCACAACATTCTTTTAGACCAAAATTTCACTCCAAAAGTCTCTGACTTTGGACTAGCGAGACTTTATCCTACTGATCATAACATAGTCTCGTTGACTGCTGCAAGAGGAACTTTGGGATATATGGCGCCTGAGTTGTTCTACAAAAACATTGGTGGTGTATCTTACAAAGCGGATGTCTATAGCTTCGGGATGTTGCTCATGGAAATGGCAAGTAGAAGGAAGAATATAAATGCAAATGCAGAACGCTCAAGCCAAATTTATTTTCCCTTGTGGGTGTATGACAAAGTCAATGAAGGAGAAACTGTTGAAATAGAAGAAGTTGAAGAAGAGGAAAGGATGGTGAGGAAAAAGATGATCATAGTTGCACTTTGGTGTATCCAATTAAACCCTGACCATCGGCCCCCAATGAGCAAAGTCCTAGAGATGCTTGAAGGAGATATCGGTAAACTTCAAATGCCTCCAAAACCGCTTATTTACCCGCCAGATGAGCCAGTCAATAGTGATAAAGCCGAGATGGAACTAGAAACATTTTCAGCTTCATCAAGCACACAAATAATTTCTGCTAGTTTTCCTTTTGGAGATAGCGATATTGTTTAGAGAATCATGCACAGTTTGATAAGAATAGCATTGTGTATTTTGTTATATGCCGATAATCTAGTATTATGTCGGGAGGGACTTGGGCTAATTTAGCTCCACAGGGATTACTTTCGAGATTGTCCTTTCCTAGCTCTAAGGTTAATGTTGTGTTATTGTATTTCATAGGGTTGTACTCTCTTTCATCCTTCTTCTCAGAGGACAAACAAATTGGCAAGAGAGTAAGGACAAAAACGGTGGGAAAAGTGACTAACATAGAGAATTTTCCTTCGTCATTACATGATTTAGGGTAATCCCAATTAAAATGCTAATAATAACTTGTGATCTCGCTACTTGAGGTGCTATTACCAGCCTATGACTTTCTTGCTGATTTCAACTATGGAAATAATTTTCAGAGAAGACATCTATGTATACGTTTTACAAAGTGGACACCATCTGTCTATGTAGAAACAACTTTTATAAAAAATGGAAATGAAGATCTTGAATGAAACAAGTCTGTGTAATTTATACTTGAAAGACCTCATATTCTGTTTAAGAATAACATGAAATTACTGACGAGCAATAAGATCGCAAAACTACAATTTCCTCGTAAAAATTATGACTCTACTACGGTGATTCAATTGGCGGGTTTGTAGAACTTCAGAGTACTTTAATGAAACTTCATCAACCTGGCTTGTATACTCGACACCGGCCACGGAGGGAAGGGAGAGGCGCCCCCTTCCCCAATTTCTTTTCTTTTAAGTATTATATAGATATAAGAAAAAATAAATGTCTGCTACATAAAAGTTAATCTCGTCTTGAGTTTAATGCTCCAACCTTTTTTTTTTTTTGAAAAAACTCTATCAAATTCCATGTCAGTTTGCTTTGGGTAAATTGCAATATGTTGTATTCAATGGGCAAATATGTAAACTTACAAAGATGTAATCTGATGACATAGTGTCATCTTACTTTATATGTATTGACAAGTCTATTTTATTATCTTTTTCTTCGTACTATTTTAATCTAAGAAATTGTGATTTTCAATGAACACTTTATATAGGTTTTGGATGCAAAATAGGTACTTGTTTAGGTATATCTTTTCATTTTAGAAACAATTTAAATAGGGATGAAGCCGACATTACTTAATTGAATGTTTTAATGGAAAAGGTATAGCTTTAAAATATATATTTTTACATAATTATCACAAAGAATCATAAAAAAAGTACTCTCTTGCCCTTATACTTGTTTATATTTCTATGAAGAATCGAGAACAAATTCTACAAAATTTCGGATTATACATGTATTTTCTTAAACTCATTGTATAGAAGAAAATTAGTAATTCAATCATAAATTTATTATACGAATATCAATTCAATCATGAATTATTTATTTTTACCTAGCCTAAATATTTTCACGAAATCCTCTATAGTCATTCCAACTTATTGCAGGCAGAATCCGCAAACGTGGCTCCGGCACGTGGAAGAAATAACGGACAATGACGTCCTTTTGCAGATTTTACGGAATTTTCTGATTTATTTATTTCTTTTTTACTTTATTTCCTTCTTTTTTTTCTCTTTTCTATATTTTTTCTGCGCTGCTGTTCATCTTCTTCCTTACGCGTCCTTCTTCAGTGAATCTACTTCTGCGTTAAAGAGACCATACATTTTGCCGTATCAAAATGTCTGGAATGCCGGAGGACCCACCTTATCACTAAGAAGATCCCTCGACAAACATCTCTACTCCAAATTCGTGACAAGAACCGCAAGGAACTTCAAACCTAAATCAAGTCAAACTCCGAAGCAGCAACAAAATCCATACAGGCAGACCGACCAGATGATTCTTCTCGAATTCAATATCTTCAAGCAGAAGACCTTGACGAAGTAATCGTTCTCCGACCCGCCCCGATCAATCGCAAAACTGAGGGTCGGCGAATGATGACGAGATACGGTGCGATTCTAGAACACACAAAGCACGCATCGCGGGCACGAATCAGCCCGATGAAACAAAATTCGGTGAGCTGTTACGAAATCAACAGAGCAAGAGTTTGAGAAGCTAACTCGCTTGTCCAAAGGCCAAGAGTGTTAGAGGAGAGAATTAATGGCTAAGTCGGATGAGCACCCAAAGAAGAAGATGAACAGTTGCGGGGAAATGGATAGAAAATAAAAAGAAAGGCCAAAAAAGAAATTTCAGAAAATTTACTCAAAAAAATGCCGTTTCACTTAACTTTTTCCACGCCAGTTTCCATTATGCCACGTAAAACAACCGGAGGTGGCTAGACCTTTGTGTCAATATTTTCAGGCGTAAATTGACGAGAAAAATGATATAATAAAATTGAAAAAATTTGGAATTAAATTGATATATATATAATAAGTTTTGAACTGTTTTGATAATTTTTTCATCTAAATAATATAACTTCACTCAAAATTCTCAAGTAAAAATAAAAAATAGACTCCATATTTCGCCAAAAGTTTCACTCACCGTCGATCAAATCTTGGCTTGGTCATTACTTTCTTGAATAAAACAGCCAAAGGTCACATCAATTAAACTATGATCGTTCCCGGTGAGCCCTACCAACTTTTGTTTTCGGTGACTTTGAAGTCTCCTGAGATTACCTCCAAAGATATTAGTCAATGATAAAGTTCAAATCTTTTGCTCTAGCGTCTTCTTGAGAAATTTCTTCAATAATAATAGCATAGAGTGGATAATTCTTTAAATTTCTTAACTTTTATTTTCCTTCAAATTGAATGTGTGCAATCATTAATAATCAAAATCCATTCCATTCTTAATTCACATTAATTCACTTCGATTCAAGATCTGCACATATTCTTAAGATGGCTTCCATGTCATCTTGAAAAAAAAAGAAAACCAATTAACATCATAAATATGAAAAAATATGAAAAACTTACTTATTTAAGAAAACTTTTCAAAAAATATGAAACGATGTCATGTCGATAGCTAATGATAATGGTTGTCAATTAAGATGATATCTTGCTAGAAAGAAATGGAGATGCTCTGTTGGGTCCTATTCGCTATTACTATAACATTCTCGACTCCATTGATTTTGTTTTATCGATTGTTCATATTCTTGTTGATGGTCCACCACATATGAAGACCCAAGTTTCCATTGCTCACAAGCTGAGAGGGACATGATTTTTCCTCTCAATTCCACACCTATGTACCTTGTGTCATTCGTTTTTCTAGTTTTTAATTCTTGATACTCTTCCTCAAAATTTTACATCAAATTTTACTATCGTCGCGGGGCCGTGAAGAAAGAAGAGGGAGAAGAAGAAGAAGGGAGGAGGAAAGAACGAAGAAGAAACTAAGAAGAAAGATGGTGTATCAGAAGGAAGTGATGGAGAGGGAAGGAGAGAGAGAGAGAGAGAGAGGGAGGGAGAGAGAGATGGATTTCTTTGTCGATGGGATGTGGACCCGACGATCACGTGGAGAGTGTGGAAGAAACGTGGAGAGAGGAGAAAGAAGGACCAATGTGAGATGACATGATTGACATCTTTTGAATTCTTGGGTGTAAATTTTCCATATGCACTTTATATGTACGTGATTAATGGGGGGGGGGGGGGGGGGGTGGGGGGTCTCCAATAGGGATGGCCACCGGCCGTGCACAAGACAAGACTCCACTAAAAATGGAACCTCAGTTTGGGTCCCCCTCTCCTCTTTAATTTCTTGACTTGCATCCGTTTATTACGTTGACTGACTTGGGCTTTCCACTGTCGTAACACTCCTGTGTAGACCAGAAGCTGCCGGCAAGATCTGTACATAGGTTTGTGGAACAATAAAGGGTGGTCGAGAAAATGATGTAGATGCTCGTATTCGCATATATCTATGTCGTTTATGAATTGGGTGCATCGATGCCACCACTACTTATTGAGTTCTTCCATCACTAGCACTGATATCGGCGCTGAAATTTTCATGCGAACATTCTACCTAATGCATGGGATTCTTCCATGAGCCTTGAGTAAAAATTTGAACCAATAATGATGGATGTGGCTCTGGTTTGGAATCTGAATGGCTCCTACGGCCATTCACACGGAGACGGTGCTAAAGCGCAAAAGAATAAGCAATTCCAACTCTCAAAATCATACATATGTTCGGGCTCAAAAAATCTACAATGTAGAGAATCAAGGGTTCTATCTTCACGATCCGTCCAAGACTCTCATCTACCGAAAGAGTTTCTCAGATCTCGGAAGGAGTTTCGTGCCGGCACTATTCTTCCAATCTATAGCTCACATTGCCATAATAGCAGCAGTTGTTCACCGTTTCCCATTATGCATGTTTCCTCAAATGCTCAAGCAAACCTAGACAAAGGATCAAAGGTAGCGTATGGCATTGATGTAGTAATATAACTAATATATCAATTACCTGGATTTCGAGAGTTATTAATGATGAATAAATATCTATAAAAAACAACTTCGCACTCAAGTTTCTTGAGCTTTAGTTATGTAATTAGAATTGCTTTAATTAGATATATTGGGGATAGCATTATTTTGCCTTTTTCAATTGAATGCAATCAAATTTATATCGGGAAAATTATCAAAAAAGCTCTAAACTTATTGTACGGACGTCAATTTAGTCTTAAACCTTTTTAATTTGGCCAATTTAGTCCTAAACTATTTAACGATTTGCCAATATAGTCATTCCGGCCAAAATTGGCCATAAATATTGACATGGACGCCGGGTGTGGTTGACATTAACAAATTTTGCATTTATATAAAATTTTCTTTTAAAAAGAAGAAAAAAGGAAAAAAAAAAGAAAAAAAATTGCACAAATTGTTCACGTTAGCGTCGGACATACCACATGGGATGGCCGGCGTCTATGTCAAAATTTGCTGGAAGGATTACATTGATAAATTATCAAATGGTCTAGGATCGAACGAATTTAAAGTTTAGGACTAAATTCGCAGCCAAAATTCCCTGCATGATGATTTGTGCGTGTTTTCTATAATGGGCTACGCCCAAAAACAAAAACTGATCAAATGAAAATAATTAAGTTTTTTTTTTGGGCCAGAAAACCAATAACTTATATTTGTGCAATCAATAATCATCAAAATCCATTCCATTCTTAATTCACATGAATTCACTTCGATTCAAGATCTGCACATATTCTTAAGATGGCTTCCATGTCATCTTGAAAAAAAAAGAAAACCCATTAACATCATAAATATTTCAAAAATATGGAAACCTTACTTATCTAAGAAAACTCCTCCAAAAATATGAAACGATGTTATGCCGACAGCTAATGATAAGGGTTGTCAATTAAGATGATATCTTGCTAGAAAGAAATGGAGATGCTCTGTTGGGTCCTATTCGCTACTACCGTAGCATTC